TCTATCTATCTATCTATCTATCTATCTATCTATCTATCTATCTATCTGATTTCTGAACCCCACCTTTTCCCTCAAAGACTGATGGCAGTTTTTATATCTTGAAAAAAAAAACCATTGCCTGACTCCTGGTGACATTTTTACTTTTCTGAAGTCCCTGCAAAAGTGATTTAAAGCAAGCTGGAACTGAACTGCGTATGTAATTACTTATCATCATAAATCCATTTAAACAGCTAATAAATTGTGTTAAGAATACTGGGGATATTGTCCTAGGGAAAGTGGATTGCTAGCATTAAAATGCATTACTTGTAAATATAATAAAGGTGGGATACAAATAAATGGATAAAATATGCCTCTCATACATTGCTTCCCTAATTTTTCCCTAGTTGCATTTATCATGAACTTATCTATGGAAAAGATAAACTGAGCCATTTGGAGTAGAGTACTATAGAAATATTATCAATAAATAAATGTGATTATTAGTTGCTTAACTAGACTAATAGAATGGTGCAATACAATAGATCTGTGTTATACATGCTTTAATCCAGAATTCTTCACCCAGAAAAAGAGACAGTAGAATTTGGTCTTTATTCTTTTGACAGAATTCCCATTTTTCTCGGTCAATTACGGGACCTGAAAACAACATTAGGAACTGGTTTAGATTACAGACCTCAAATGACACCAAAATGACTAACCGTGCATTATGATGTCACAATGCAACCTCACCCATTTCTATTTTCATAACAATGTTGCAAACAACTATATCAGAGGGTGGAGTTTGTGTTGCTTCTTTGCCATGTACGTTTTATCAATTTGACCCCCTCATAGATGCCCGTGCTTTGCAAATTGCACTAAACCAACATGTCATTTGCTTCTGTGCAGCCTAGTGGGTTTCCTGAACTCAGTCATTATGTTTTGGGATTTAGCAAGTTATGTAAACAAAATGAGTTGTGGCTTGTTCCTAAAACTTTAGAATTGTAGAGTCGAAGGGGCCATTTAGGCCCTCGTGACCAGTCCTCTGCTTAGTACATTGAAGGGTTAAAGTTAAGTAAAGCAGACTGCATGGCCATCTAGCCTCAATTCAAATAAATCTAATAATGGGTACTGGTTCTACTGTTCAAATCCTTCTTTTGTTAGAAGCTTTTTATATATATATCACAGTCAATAGGAACTCTGCTTCCCAAAGCTTAAATTCATTATTCTATGCCCTGTATTCTGAAATGAGAGGGAGAAGGTCTTGATCTTCTTCCATTCTTTCAGATGTCTGAACATTTTTTCATCATCCTTCACAGTTGTCTTTTCTCCAAGTTAAACATATCCCACTCATTCAGTCTCCATTAATTGGGCTTAGTTTTTAGTCCCTAGAGCAGGGATCCCCAATCCCCAGGCTGTGGCCCCCTAGTGGGTCATGGCTTATTTGCAATCAGGCCAGGCAAGTGGCCGACTGGCGCCCATTCTCATGCGTGCAGCTCACGGGGGAAATTTTTTCCCTACCGGCTCTGTGGGCGTGGCTTGGTAGAATAGTAGTAGCAATCAGGGATGATTTTTTTACTGATTCCACTCATCCCTACCACCTCTCCCAAGCCAGGCAGAGGTGATTGAATTTCACCCCTGGTGCAGCTCAACTTGGGTAAGCGACATGCACACAGCTTAACTTGTTCAAATTGAGCTTCATGCACATGGAAATGCACGCCGGCCTGCTGTTTGCACAAGTTGAGCTATACACCAGCCCGTCATTCACATGGCCCAGTTCCCCTCCCCCCTAGACCACCAAACCACAAAGGTTGGGGACTGTTAACCTAATGCATCTTTTTTGTTGTAATTTGAAACTTCTATTTTTTTTTCTGCATCAATTTAAAGTATGGAAGCCAAAATATAATATAATATTTGAGGTGATGTCTGTCCAGTGAAGAACACAATGGAGTGACTTTATGTGTTTTGGAAATCATAATGTCCTTGATGCGAATCAAAATTGCATATTGTCGTTGGCTTACATTTAGTGTGTGACCAATTACTATTCAAGTTCTTTTTTTTTTTAAAGAATTTTTTATTTTTGAACATACACAAACAAAACATAAAACAATCTTCCAATTTCATACATACAGTGTGTCGGTTGGTTATAATTTGTTTGTGCATTCTCTCCATAGTTCTCACTTACAATTGTTTGTATAAATTCTCATATTATTAATCTGATATATATGTATACATTATTGTCATTGTTAATCATTTATTGGACTAAACTATTATTCCTTCATTTTATACGAGATATTCAAAGTTTTAAGTTAATTTGTCATATAACAATTCATATCATCATCCTAAATCCATCCAATAGTAATACATCCTTATATTATATTCTATATAATTCTATTATCCTTATTTTGTAAAATTCTCTAACATATTTCATTTCCATATTTTTTTTCTAACCATTGATAAAATAAATCCCATCTTATAAAATTGTTAACTTCTTGTTCTCTAATTTCAAATGTCAATTTACTCATTTCAGCACATTCCATTATTTTCTTAATAACTTCCTCCTGTGTTGGTATTTTCTCATTTTTCTAATTTTTAGCAAATACAATCCTCTATTCAAGTTCTTGATACTTGTAAATTTAAATACTTGGAGATTTTCCTAGCTCGGGAAGAGTTACACCGAAATGTAGATAATGAGAGTGCAAACATTTATATATGTGTTCCAGCAAAGCTTCAAAAGTGAAAGAGTCCAGAAGTGGATGTTGCCTTGCTGATTTATAATCTGATGGGCTTGAATTATGTCGGGCAAATTGTGGGCAACAACAGTGCCTAGTGGTTGGAGTAATCTGCCAGCATGTTATGCAAAGGTGGTATTCAGCAGGTTCTGACCAGTTCTAGAGAACCCGTAGTTCATCATTTGAGTAGTTCAGAGAACCGGCAAATACCACCTCTGACTGGAGATTTTACGGTATCCTTCCCCTGTCATAGAACCAGTAGTAAAAAAAATTGAATCCCACCACTGATGTTATGACACATTTCTTATGTCTGCAAGTGTTATAATAGTCATTATTTGGTCATGTTTTAATTCTGCGTCTGAGCTATCCTTTGATTCTGTGTTGTTTCTGATGTCTTTTAATGAAATGGAACAGGAGAAGGTATTGATTCTTCTTGAACATGCTATGGAAATATTTGAATTTAGCTTTTCTGAGACAGTGAGCTGCAGTGTGTTTTTAGTTACCTAAAACCCTTAATTACCTAAAACCACATTTCCTGCTATGGAAGTAAAGGATTTGATTGTTATATTGGATTTTCTCTAAATTTGGATCTGCCAGCTACTATCCCTCAGTATGGTGATGAGAATCTCCAAGAATGTGAGTTTGTCATTTGTCTCTGTCTCTATAGTGCATTTGATTCTTGGGTATGTATAATTCAGTCTTAAAAAGTTGTTAACAATTTGGCTTTTCTTCAGTATGACAAAAGTGGCCTCGGCATAATTGATACTTCTACGTAATGCATAATAGCTTCTGCTATCTATCCTGATAACCCAATTCTTGTAAAGATCCGATTCACAAAACAATGAATTTGATTTTTTTTCAAACAAATAACTCTTTGTCTCCTTCTGTCACTTTTTTGCTCACTTCTGCAAACTACTAAGATTGCTTTGATTCCACACACACACACACACACACACACACACACACACCAACCTTCTGAGCTACTGGTAATCTCCTCCAACTTTTAATTACCTGCAAATTTGATAAGCATTCCTCCAACCTCTTTATCCAAACCATTAATAAAAAAATATTTAAGAGTTAAGGACTAAGGGCTGGAATACTGTACGCATAACCCCACTGTATACCTCTCTCCAGTTATATGGAAGATTGGTGAGCATGCTAAGTATGATTTTTTGAACCTTGCAGCTTATGCTTTTCTACAAGCCATTGTTAAGCAAACATAGTTTAGCAGGATGCATCAACCGGGTCTGTCTGACTCTTCTGTCTGTTCCTCTTTGGCAGCATCCTTTCAGATCTGGATCTTATGGAGAAAACCACAGAGAAGGAGTTGTGTGGATTGGCTGCAGTTATTATATTGTGCAGGATTAATTTCTCCCCGAGTATACGTGGGTCCAAAATGTTCTTGTGGGACCAACCATTCTTAAAACCACTGTATCAAATGGACAAGTCTGAGCTGCAAAAACGATATCCCTGAGACCCCTTTTTCAACCTCTTGGCTTTCATATATTTTTTTTCCGTTACAATGCAAAAAGAGCAGGGCGTGATTTGTTCATCTGCGGTAGCCAAAATATACATCCCTTCAGCTAATTCAGTTAATAATACATGGACCTTCAGCAGCCCTTCCTCTCCCTTTTGTATGAATTAAGCAGAAGGCAGCCCAATATTTTTCACTCTGTAAGATTGTGTGTGTGTGTGTGTGTGTGTGTGTGTGTGTGCGCATGTGCAGCTAGAGGGATATTTTTAAAAGTACACTTTAAATAGCAAAGTTGAGTAAAATGGAAAGAAAGATAAGAAACATTTGTGTGCATCCATTTATTTATTTTAAAAGTTTGTCCATATGTACACTTTCGGTGTAGCTTTACATTCACTTTTGGAATCAGTTTGCCTTTTCCATTTTGTTGCTCCATTATCCCTGATTATCTTTGAATATATGTCTCTGCTTTTGCTGATGAAGCTGTGATTTTAATACATTTGTTTAGAGTTATTTTTCTCATGTTTTGATAGATCTCTACAATACAGTATGCTAACATGGTTCATCCCTAGGTGGCGCACTAATTGTGCCTTCCTCCTTCAGGCCTGCAGCTACTCAAAGCATGCCTTTGATTATTCTGCATGCTAAAGTCCAGAAATATTTAACTGTTTCCCTTAGCTTCCATTATTGATTTTTGTTGTTCCTGTTGTTTAAAGATATAGATACCTCCCAGTCCTTGGGGCCTGGGGCTTTCTCTTGATGAAGAAGAATGTTTTCTCTTCAAAACACATTTATTTGGTAAAGTGGAGGAGGACGCTGACTGCTAAAAGCAACATTAATATGCAAGCTAGCTTGCTTTTACAAAACCATTCTCTATCCCAGACAGATTTCCTGCTTAGAGCTAGAAAGGGGGAAAGAGTGGAGAGATCAGAGGTTGCCCAAAATCAGATCAACAAGAACTTCTGCTTCAGAAATCATTTTATATCAAACAATAAAGAAAAGAAATAAAATTAATCATTCTCAGCTATGTGTAAATGTTCTGGGCTGTATATATTTCCCTTTCTTCTTGTTAGATGTATTTCTGAGGTAGCAATATAGGATATTGACCATGAATCTATCATAGCTGGTAGTGTTTTCACCAAACCTATATAGAATTACACAGATTACCAGTATACCACCAGGGCTGGTATAATTTTCACTATGGCTAGCTTTGTTTTATTTTTGCTTCCTCTGTTTTAATTGTGGAATTCTGCAAATAAATTAGTTAGCATGTTTACTATTCTTAGAATTTCATAACCTATATACAGATACGTTTTCTTCTCGGCAAAATCGAGAAAGTTCGTGGACATTCCCAGCAGTTTTGGAAAGATGAAATTTTCATAGTAGTAATCAGACATGGCTGGTAATTTATAAGTCAAGTACTGAAACTCTGTGGGGAAACAGTGAATCATATGAAAAGACCCTCTTGGAGAGAGATCGGCAGTTTAGAAACATGAAAAGGAAGGAAGGAAGGAAGGAAGGAAGGAAGGAAGGAAGGAAGGAAG